CGTAAGGATTTACACCCTCGGAAACCCTGTACAGGGTCGCTATGGGTCGGAACCGACTCGAAGGCACTTAACAACAACAACATTATACTATGTGGCTGAGAATGTGGAGCTGTGTTCTCCCCTCCAGCATGAAGGCCTGGAAATGAGCCCCTAGGTTGGAAGGCACTAAAATAACCCCTTAGGACCATCATGAATATGGTGGGGGATAAGATATAATTTCCTTCTGCTTAACACAGTGTTGTTATGAGTTGGAGTCAGCTCAACAACCTACAATTTTGGAAGGCAGCACTGTCTGTAGCAGCAAGAATGAAAACAATCTCAAAGTCCATTCATCGTTTATATAGTTAGGGAATATCCATAGAGTGGAGTAACAGGCCCAAAGACCGAAATAATGTAAAAGTGCTATTGGAGAACAATGTCCAACAAAAATCTGAAAGAAAAAAAACCCTCATAGGATCCAAAACAGCATTAATGAAATAACCTAATATGTAATGAAAAAAGTAATCAAGGAGAAAGGAGTTGGACCCAAAAATAAACGTGGTTGCATGTTTTGTCTTTATACCTAAGAAATAACCACCATGTTTTTAACAGCTTTATTGAGATATAATTTACATATCATAAAGTTCAAATTTACATACCAACCAGCAAAGGCAAAGATGAAGAAGTTGAAGACTCCTACCAACTTTTTCAGTATGAAATTGATCAAACAGGCAATCAAGACACACTGATAATTCCTGGTGATTGAAATGCAAACTTGGGAACAAAAAGGCAGGTTCTGTAGTTGGAAAACATGATCTTGATGACAGAAATGATGCTGGAGATGGTGTGGTAGAATTTTATGAGACCAGTGACTAAACTGCAAATACCTTGAAAAAAGGAATTTATTGAAAAATAATATAAACAGTGCCTATACATGTAGACCTCAGCAAAGGAGGTTACAAGAATCAAATTGACTACATCTGTGGAAAAATTATAGAGGAGCTCAATTTAATCAGCCAAAGCAAGACCAGAGGCCAACTGTCAGTTGTTCATATACAAAATCAGACAGAAGTTAAAATTAAAACAAGTCCATGAGAGCCAATTTTGACTTTGAGTATGTACCACCTGAATGTTAGAGACCACTGAAAGAACAGATTTGACATACCGAGCGAGCACCAATGACTGAAATCAGACAAGCTGTGAGATGACGTCAAGAAGATTCTACATAAATAAAGCAAAAGGGCATTTAAAAGACAGGAAAGAAAGACAAGACCACAGTGGACATCTGAAAAGACTTGCTCTTACAGTAGCTAGAGCAAATGGAAGAAATGATGAAGTAAAAGAGCTGAGCAGAAAATTTCAAAAGGCAGTTTGAAAAGACTAAAGTACTGTAATAAAATGTGCAGACTTGGGAGTGAAAAAGGGAAGAGCATGCTCATCATTTCTCAAGCCTAGAAAAAATTCAATTCACAACTTGCAATATTAAGTAAGGGACATCATTGCTATTGTCACATAGATACTGGCTGAAAGCAGAGAAAGGTGTTTACTTCTGCTTTACTGACTATGCAAAGGCATTTTGACTGTGTAGATCTTAAACTATGGATAACACTGTGAAGAATTGGAATTTGTGCTTATGCAGAACCTGTACATAGACCAAGATACAGTCATTCAAACTGTACCCTTTCACCATACTTATTTAATCTGTATGATGAGCAAATTATCCCCGAAGTAGACTATATGAAGAATGCAGCACCAGGATTGGAGGAAGCTCATTAACAACCTGCAATATGAAGATAACAGAACCTTGCTTGCTATAAGTGAAGAAGGCGTGAAGTACTTACTGATGAAGATCAAAGACTACAGCCTTCAGTATGAATTACAACTCAATGTAAAGAAAACAAAAATCCTCATAACTGGACCAATAAACAACATCATGATGAGTGGAGAAAAAAGATCAAAGTTGTCAAGGATTTCATTTTACTTGGATCAACAATCAACGTTCATGGAAGCAACAGTCAAGAAATCAAATGATGTATTACATTGGGCAAGTCTGCTGCACAAGACCTCTTTTTAAAGTGTTAAAATACAAAGAAGTCACTTTGAGGACTAAGGTGAACCTGACACAAGTC